TCACTATTGACTGGGCTATTCATCAGTTATTTTCATACGTAAATAACTGATGAATAGCCGGATCATGATGAAACTTGCAGGTGACGTAATGTATTCCTTTTTCGAGGTAACTAACGCCCGGCATGATGTATTTGGCACATACACAGCCGCTGCAGCGAATGCAATGCAATCATGGGGGCCAGCAGTGTGTCTGTGGAGCAGCTGTGTGCAATTAAATTTCTTGTGAAGGAAAAAGTTAAACCAGCTGAGATTTTCAGAAGATTGCAAGCACAGTATGGTGAACAAACAATGCCATGTACAAGAGAGTATGAATGGTGTGAAAAGTTTCGATCTGGAAATTGGAACGGACACACAAAAAATATAGACTGTGGGGTAGAGCAAAATAAAAATGAAAGACCCATTTGAAAAAAATTTAAACGATATTAAAATCTTTGTCTCGAGACTAAAAAATTCTTAGAACTAACATCTTTTAACCTTTTTTTTTTTTTTTTTTTTTTTTCTTAGTAAAATCTCTAGACAAAAATCTTTAGAAACTAACATCTTTTTAACCTTTTTTTTTTTTTTTTTTTTTTTTTTTATGTGTATACTGTGTGTTGTTGTCAATAAAGTCTGCTTGGCAACATCTGCAGCATTATTAAAATTTGTGTATACTTATACTGTGTATTGTAGCCAAAAAGTCTACGTGGTGAGATTTGAGCTGGTGAAATGGGAAAATACCGTATAATACACAATTATTACATTAACTGCTTATAAATTACCTAGTTTGGAACAGCTGTTATATACAGACTGGGTTGGTGAAAATTTTCTCACCAAACATTTTTGGGGAGAAACTCTACGATTTTACTTATCTAAATTTTTTGCTTATATTTCAAACTTGAAGCCTAAAATGACTGAAAAAACACGGTTTTTGCACACATGATTTACGCTAAAAAAACGAAATAAAAACAAAAAATTTAGAAAAGTAAAAACGTGAAGTTTCTCATAAAAAATGTTTAACAAATATAAACTAAAATAACAACGATAAATTCCAAACAATTTCAACACAAATAAATTCAAAAATTACAAAAAATAGCAACACAAAATTAAAGCTATGCAACATTTAAAATAATTCTCTACAAAACTAAAACAATAAAAAAGTAAATTCATTTATAATTCAAAATAGTTCCCAAGAAAGTAAAATATTAATTTCAAACACAAAATTTTCTTCAATTTTTCTTCCTAAAGAAACTAGGTCATAAATTGAAAAATTTATTCCAGATTTTATTTCATGCCAAAAAGCAACACTGTAAGAACTGGTTATTTTCCAGACTGCATGCAGGACAAATTAAAAATCTCATATATTGAAATATATACACTGAGTGGGCTAAATGAATGGAAAATGCTCTGGTAATAAAACAATTAAAAAAATTGTGAAAAACTTAATTCACAATAATTTCTACTGTCATTCAATATGAATGACATTAAAATTTTTTTAAACAGCAAGTTCTTAATTTCCTGGTACTTACATATTAATACAATAACCTTGATGCAATTTTTTACAGATGAACAGGTAAAAGTTACTTATCAGGTACAAGTTGGCGATTTTTCACGACATTTTTGAAAAAGATTCCCAAACTATTGCTATTTATCCAGGTCGACAAACATTATCAACATATGAATGGTCAACCTATTTCAGCAATTTTAAATACAGTCAAAAGTCATTAATTCGGACACCCATAATCCGGAATGATCTATAATCTGGACCTCAAAGCTAAAATCTTTCTGCGCATGCGCATAGGCATTTACGCGTGCGCATATGCGTCTGCGCGAGCGCAGAATACGTTTTCGCGTGCGCGTTTAATGTATAACGGACGGTATAAGCTAAAATTATCTAATTATCTATTTCAGATAATGTTGATAATTGCGTTGTTCTTAATCTTCGAATTGGATCCGGCTTATTTTTTTTTTTTTGCAGACTGTAAGAGCAATTTTATAAAAGTAAGCTTGAACTTTCGATTATGTCAAATAGAATTTCCGATGCTGGAGCTCTCAAAGGATCTACAAAACGAAAGTATGTTTTGATGGCCATCAAACAAAAAGTGGAATTGGTACAATAAATGGATAAAGGCATATCCTTTATTTATCTAACTGTTCCGAAATCTGTTTATCAATTTCACGCTGCTCTGCGGGGATGGGAGGGGGACGTCGCGGCGCGCAATGAACTGGAAGTTGATCTGTCAGCACTTTCGTTATCTTCAGGGCAGATGTTTTTATTTTATTCGGCTTATAATTCCTTACTAAATGCAGTATTTCATCTCGATGTACTCCGTCTTTGATATGATTTAAATCAAATTCCTCGTCATTATAAATATCACGAATACAAATCAAATAGTTTTCTGGTTGCAATTTTCTAATTTCGGATATGCGTAATGTATGCTTTACGCATGCGAACATTGAAAGAAATGTTTAATAAAGTAACAAATAAATATTAAGCTTCTTTTTTTGTAAATTTTGATACCCTTTAGATCATAATTGCTCATTATTTTATAAATTACGGTTTCATATTTTTAATTTTATAATTTCTGCATGCCATCTTACCAGATTTAAACTGATGATCTATAATCTGGAATCGCTGAAGTCCCGACGATTCCGGATTAAAGACTTTTGACTGTATAAATTTTGGTTATTAAATAAGGATTTTATAATACATTAAAAACATAAAACACTTATATAACATTTGCTCCAAATCTTTTTGTAATTTTTTTTTCGATATTCTTTTCCCGAAGTACACAACAATCCGTTTCATTTATAAATTTAACATCAGAGAATTGAGGACTCATCATGCAAAACTTGGCAACACTGGCTGTTTACCAAAAGCATCTCTTTGATGTTCCCAGCAGAGATTTTGTGGCAAAATTCTGTATTTCTGCGGATATTCTACCCAGTTTTCTTCAATTGTCAGCAAATTTCACAAGTGTAATTTTAAAACCAAGTTTACGGGAAAAAATACCATGGTTTTTTTTATAAAATCCATTGAAACTTGGAATACAGAAAAAAGGGTACTATTCGGTTTCGAGGGCCGTAAAAAATCACCAAACTATTGTTGATGCCAATGCTGCCAAAAATAATTGCGGCAACCCTAATAATTGCAGCAAGAAAGGAAGTATAAAAGTAAATAACTATCTAAGATTGATGTTTTAATTTAGATGAAAGGTTAATTTCATATCATACTTTTCTATTATTATAATTTATATGAAAAAGGCTAAACATGACTAAATGGAAGCATAAGAGTAAATAACTATTTCAGATCATTATTATAATTTATATAAAAATTGCTAAACATAACTGAATGGATGCCTGCATCACTATTTCGCTACCGACTTATGGCTAAAGCATAATTTCATCTCGTTGGTTGTCAAACGTAATTTTCTATATAATGAATGATGCCTTTTTCTTTGAAAAAATATTCTCGGTAAAGTGCAGAATCGCTCACTTATTTGTTTGTCACTTTTTACAATTGTAAAAACAATTGGATTTTTGTCAATTTTCTTTTACTTTTTAAGTGAAAAATAGGTTGATGTGTACATAGATAAAGTCAAGGGTGTGCGCAGTTTAAGAAACCCTGTTCTAGACAGAGAGAAACCTGTCACTATAAAACAATGTTTTTTTCCCCAATTTTGATTACTACTTCTGTCAATAGATGGTGCTACCTTCTCCTTTACTCCTGTATGGTATAAATACAATTGTAGCTTTCCCTTTGTTGCAGATTTCTTTGCTTCTGATGAAAAAGGATCTATACCTATTTGTACTCAAAATCGATAAGAACTTTTGACTAAATCTACTCCAAACACAAGGTTGGTACTATGTTAAATTTATATCAATCTTCTGTTTCTCATTCTCTACTGAAGTACATTTGAATGTTGTTTTAATTTATATGATTAACCCTCTGGGCGGCCAGGGTTTTTGCTAAGAAAACACAAATTTCCCAAAACTACTATGAGAACAAATTATTTTTTTGATTTTAATGCAAAAACTCTCCTGGTATTTCATACCTGGGTTTGTTTTCTTTTGATATATGGCCTTAATTTTGTTGACATATTTTAATATTGCACACATATATATGTTCTTACACATATCACAATAAATATTCTAGGCCGTACGGCCTTGCCGCTTAGAGGGTTAAATGGAACTATGAAAAACCAGCAATTTCCAAGAGGTTTGCATGATGCACCAAGCTATTCTAAACAACTCCAAATTTATATAAATTAACTTTACGACACATTATTCAATTACAAGAGTTATTTACAATGTGATTCTGACATAAAATACATCAATATTCAATTACATATTCTAAATTTTATGCTTTTTGTCTAATTTGATTTTGTAACTTTATTACATTTTCGTGTACTGAGAAAATCCTAAGCTGGGAAGAAAAATTTTTATTTAACAAAACACTTTAAATGCAATGAAAATAATATTAATGTATGTAGTAATCATATGGATAAACTTGGTAATATACCATTCAATCATATAAAACAAATTTATATATAAATATTAACTGATTAAATCTTCATAAAATGTTCTGCAAATGAATACAGTAAATTCAGACAATTAAGATCCAATATTTTTTTTTTTAATTATACTGAAAATCATCAGAAGTTTACAATTTAATTTTCATTAATTTCACTTAGCGCTGTAACACTATTTTTTTTAGAAAAGGATAAAAATTAAGAACTGGAAGATTTGGTGATCTAAATGGAGATATGGTAAAAATCTAGAAGTTTTCCAGTAGAACTACAAGCATTAGTATTTATATAAATGAACTTAGCAATTATGTTTATTAAAATGCTTCAAAAATACAGGTAAACTATTAACTGTATTTGCTCTTAATTATAACAGATGTTATTTCTGTTTCTTGAGCTCTTAATTGCTGTCAGATTACATATGATTAACCATAAACATTGTCAGCCAGTTAATCAAAAGTCTATCAAATGCTGTTAATCTTAAAAAATGGAATATACCTCCAACAGTGCAAGACTGGCCGAATTTATTTTGAGATGCAACTCGAAGTCCATTTGAAAGAGTTTCAACTTTGGTTTCCGAGTTTAAGTTTCCACTTGTAGCATAAATAGGTTTTGGTGCTGATGGCAGTGGTTCTGATAAAGATGTTCTCCATACAGCATTGTCCACATTCTGACTTAAACGACACACTGGGACAATACTTCCTTTAGAAATTGCCCTACAGATATAAAAGAAATATACATAAGAAAAAATAAACCACAACTACAAAACAGAAAACTGCCCATATGTGTATAAATTTCTTCTTGAATAGTAAATTTCAGTACTAGACACATATAATAAAGGACACGACAAAGACAACTATATGAGACATAAATATGCAGAAAGGAAAGTTTTTTTAAAAATAACAAAGATACTTTCTGATTAACTGCAGCCCCATAAAAAGTACTGAACTTACTATCAAAAGTAACTTTTTAAGCAATTAAAATTTAGAGTGCATTAGTCCACAGTTGATTTCTCTAGTTTTTGCAGATACAAAAATACTGCACACCTGTTAACCTACTAAACTGGAGAATTTTATCAGCAACAAAAAAATACATTTTAAATGATAAAAATATCGGGAAAGTTTTTTTTTTTTTTTTTTTTTTAAATCGCAAAATAACTTTAAACACCATTTATTTACATGAAAGTACAGATTCTAATTCTAAATCCAAAACTCTATTAAAAAATTACATGCTAAAAAATTATTACTTGTATATTTTTATAAAAAAATAGAAAAGGTACTTTCTGATTAGCTGCTTCCCCTCCCCCACTGAAAAGTATTGAACTTGTTGGCAGCATTAGAAAGCTGGTTTGTTTGGGTATCCTTATTTCTATTTCAGTGATGCATCTATGGTTTAAGTGAAAATGATCGATGTGTACATAAACAAAGTCAAGGGAGTGTGCAATGCCAAGTTTGTGCAATTCTCTGATATTTTACGTAAATATATATATGTGTACCTTGACATCAATGGCAGCATTACATTTTCATTTCAACAATTCTTTGACTTGTTATTTTGGTTGGTAAAAGTATACTTATGGGTTCCCCTTGGCGAAAATTTGCGATTTTTGGCAGTACATGCACACCGAGTTTGTGCAATTCTTTGATTTGTTATTTTAGCATTGTGTAGTTGCGATTTTTGTCGCCGCTACACAAAGCCAAAATAACAAATCAAAGAATTGCACAAACTCGGTATCCACATATATATTGACCTGTTTTCACTTAAAAAAACATTTGAGAACTGCATAAACTAGGCAATGCATACTCTCTTGACTTTGTCCATGTAGACATCGATCTATTTTCACTTAAAAAGTCAAAGGAGCACCCAATTCTACACTACAGCCAAACAAAAAAATATAATCTCAATAAACTAAATTTTAAATTAAACAATGAAATAACATAAAAAAGGAAATTCACCTTAGCATCTAAGCACTACACAAGGGAAATATCCACTTATTTTATTTAGACATTTTCATGTCTTCATTCCGTGGCACACAAAATTCCTTAACAGTATCCAAATACTTCCTCAAACCATGTTCCCTTTCTAATGGAACACTTTATATGATGAGCATTTGAGCCTTTCTTGTGACAAATCAATTCAGAGCCATCTGAACAATCTTTACGTTTGAGTATATGCATTTCCTTCATACAAATAGGACACTTATAATTCCGTTCAATTACATCCAATAAAGTTTTTTTTCTTCATTTTGTCCTCAACCACTTAAAAAAAAAAAAAAAAAAAAAAAAAAAAAAAAAAAAAAAAAAAAAAAAAAAAAAAAAAAAAAAAAAAAAAAAAAAAAAAAAAAAAAAAACTTTCTACTCTCTCCACTTTACCACCAGCAGTCATTTTACGGCACACAATACGTGACATACTTCCCAACTGACATCCAACAAATATTTTCCCATCATCAAATTCACTGCCATCAATCACATCATAATAGGGTTTCTATAACATTCAACTACTCAAGTTACCATAAATGAAACAACTTGGCGATGATCCAAGGGGCACCCTTAAATCTACTCTAACCTTTTGGTTTTGTGTAGCGGCCATTTTTAAAGGTTTCGAAAATAACTATGGATTTAATATGAAAAAACACTATAATTGCAAATATTTTCAAAATTTAGAAGCAGTTATACTTACAAGAATGATACAGCTTATTTTAAAACATAAAACTTAAACAGAATTGAGTTGTAGGTGTTATTACTCAAACAACCTCTCACCTTGCAATTTGTAAGATACCTACAATTGCAACAAATGACAAATCAAGTCTATTGAGAATTTAAAACATCGACCAACTCTAGTGACAAAATCTGTGACTTTGGGTGATGAATTATCATCTTCACTGGAATCTGAATCATTAGCTGCAGGGCGTAGAGGCACTTTCATCCCTTTGAGCAATGAATGATAACTTTTCCGAACTGTTGCTTTCTAACAGATAAAGTATTTGAATGGTCTCAACTTCTCTTCATCAGCTGTTCTCACTCTGGCAACTCTTGAGTGCCCATATGCTCCAAAAAAGACTTCAGTGATGATTCCTAAAGGCCAGTTGATACGCTTGCCATCAGTTTCTAGGAGAACAACCTCCCTGACTCTTACCTTTATGAATCAACATTGCTAAATACTCATTCCAAAATCTGATTCTTAAATCCTGCCTTAATTTTGTACAAAACGCAATCTTATATTTAGGCTTTTACTGTGATGTCGTCTAAATCAGTTGTTTCACTGCTAGGAATACTTTGTAAGAAACAAGCAGGAGTTAATGGCTTTAAACCTTCTGAATTGTTTTCAATATATGTAAGTGGCCTAAAGTTTATTGTAGCTTCGCAGTCACATAATAATTTCCAACTATTTTCATAGTCAAAACTTTTTCTGCCCAAAATTCCTCTTAGCATCTCTTTCAACATTCTAATCATTCGCTCCCACCAGGTGGCTATTGGAGGGTTAAAATTCGATTTGATTTTCTTGATAGTGGAAAACGACATGATCTTATTCCAATATAAATTTTTTAGAGCATTGCTTGCACCAATGAAGTTTGTACCGTTGTCAGTGTGTGTAGATTATATTTACTCTACCTCTTCGAGCAAAGAATCTTCTTAAAGCCATAATAAAAACTTCTGTAGACAGGGAATTGACTAATTCAAGATGGACAGCCCTATAAATGGCATGGGTAAAAAGTACAACCCATGTCTTTTTGCCTTAATGTAAATACAAAGGGCCTGCGAGATCAATTCCTGAAACTTCAAAAACTGCAGCAGCTTTTATTCTGTTCCTAGGAAGAGGTACAAAAGGTGGTTCTGTAGGTTTGGCTTTGAATCTTTTACATGAAATACAATTAGAGTTAACTTGTTTCACTAATCTATTGATCAAAATACTCCAGTAATCTTCTCTTAAATTGGCAACCAGATTTCGAAGTCCTGCATGTTGTAGTTCCCAATGCTTTTGCCTTACCAGTCGATGAATAATCTCATGGCTTCTGGCCAAAAATATGGGACACTTGCAATTTTCCTCTTTATCTCCCAAGAGAAGCTTTGTTCTGAGTCAAACAATATCATTTTCGTCTCTGTTTGCATGTTCTTCAAGATTTTTATTTTCCTTCCGGCAAAACTTTCCTGTTGAATTAATTTTAGCAGTTTTCTGCTGATTGAACTTATTCGTAAGTCAGCTCAGTTTTCTTAATTTTTTTCTTCTCGTTGGCAATTTTTAATGAAACAAAGTATACAGGCAAGTATTCTAAGAATCTTCGTATATTTCGAGAAATAAAGTAAATTGTCAATGAAGTTAACTGATCCATGCTCCATCGATGCAACTAAATTTTCATCAATGACTTGTTTTTCACTTAATGGCCAGAATTCTTGTGACTTCCATAACTATTCTAGACCTTCCCACCACTTGCTTTTCATTAAAGTCTTAGCATCAGAACCTCTTGAAGGCAAATCTGCTGGGTTCATATGCCCTGGCACAAAATGCCAATCATTCGAGTTGGTATTCTTTCTTATTTCTGTGACTCTGTTTCCCACAAATGTATTCCAAGAACTCTCTCTTTTGATTCAAGCAACAGTTGAATCAGTCCAAAAATACACTGTATTGTCTTTCAGTTCCAGTCCATCTATGGCTTGACTATATAATCTTGACAAGATCAAAGCTCCCAAGAGTTCTAATCTAGGATTTGTAATCTCTTAGGTAGGTGCCACTCTTGACTTGCTCGTTACTAACTTGATGGGAATCTTTTCATTAAATTCAGAACGTAAGAAAATACAAGCATAGGAAACTTCACTGGCATCACAGAAACAGTGTAGACTTATTCAGTGTAGACCTGAGACGATACTCCGTGGAATCTTACATTCTTTCAGTAAAGATAGTTCCTTGACCTAGGCTAAAAATCTATTTGATGTATCTATTGAAAGTACCATCGTTCCAATTAATTTTCCTCTTCCAAATGTTTTGAAGCAATACTTTAGGTAACAATGAAACGGGATATGTTATCCCAATAGGGTCAAATAATCTTTGAGAAGCTGATAAACACAACTCTTTTAGTAATACCCCTTTCTGGAATTTCAACCATACTGCCACAAAAAAGTTCATTGGTTTCAGTGTCCCAAGAGAGACCTAGAATTGGAGTGAATCTGTCACGTGTCTCTTCTACAATTTTTTCAGAAGTAACCCACCTCGTAGTTCGAATTGTGCTGAAGACATTAGCTCCTTAGCTTCAAAATAAATTTTCCTGCCTCTTCTTTAGTTTTTAAACTCGTAACACAATTGTCCACATAAAAAGATTCTTTAAGTCGACAAGCTGTTTGCTTCCTTTCATCTGTTCTCTAGATGGTAAGCTATAGTTGTTTCTAGTAAAAATGGACTAGAAGCACCAAATACTACTCTACAAAGTCAGAGAGTGATTATTCCTTCTCATCTTGATAACCCCTTCCACCACAGAAATTTTAAATACAGTATAAAGTCTTTAATCCGGACTCGTCGGGACTTTGGTGATTCCGGATTAGGGGTTTTTCAGGATTATAGATCATCAATTGAAATCTGGTAAGATGGCATGCAGAAATTAGAAATGAAAAAAATATGAACCGTTTAATTATGAAATAATGAGCAATTATGATCTAAGCGTATCAAAAATACAAAGAAAAGCTTAATATTTTTGTTTACTTTAATTAAACATTTTTTTTTCCCCTTTCAACTTGTTTAGTGGTTGTAAGGTTTCCTCTTTATTGATGAGCTAATTTTCTGTCTTTAAATCTCTAGGCAGGTAAGTCCTTGTAATCATTCGCTGTTGCAGAGATAATCGAAGAAATGATAAATGTCAATCGAAATTTTTTCGTTTTCACTAACTCTCTGCCAACTTTCTATGCTTTATAATTTTGGAGCAATTCCACTTTTTTTGATGGACACCCCCAACATGTTTTCGCTTTTGTAGAACCCTTTTGGCAGTTTCAGATATTGAAAATCGTGTGACATAATTGGAAAGTTCAGGCTTACTTTCTATAAAAATTGCTCAAACAGTCTGCAAAAAATATAGCCGGATCCAATTAGAAGATTAAGGAAACAACACAATTTGCAACATTAACTGAAATAGATAATTAGATAATTTTAGCCTAGCTTATACAGTGCATTATACATTAAACGCGCATGCATAAACACTACGCATGCGAAGAAAGTTTGTAGCTTTGAGGACCATAAATTATAGATCATTCCAGATTAAAGACTTTGTACTGTATTCTCTACTCTGTGGATTCAAACTGATCTGTAAAAATGCTTTTTTGATGTATGATGTTACGCGAATTGCACGTTTCCGAAACTGCATTATCAGTTTGGGTACCAACTCTAATAAACTTGGTCCTTTTTCTAAACAATTATTCAAGGAATTTCCTTTGGAATCTTTTGGAAACGTAACAAAAACTTATACTTCCTTTTTTACTAAATTCTTATTTTAATTTGTTTAGATATTGTGTTATACCCCTTACAC